TGGGGATTCGAACCCGCCACCTTAGGTGTACGTGGCTGGCGCCCTAGCCGGTTGAGCCATAGGCGCCGAGCCTGAAGATACATCTTATGGTCACAAATAGAGGTGGGTAGGGGACTGTCATTAACTGCTAACCACCCTCCAAACTCCAATACACAGGACAGCCCTGCAACCAAGAGTTATCTGGCACAAATGTCAACAATGTTGCTGGGGAGAAACCATTACTGTTTTATGAGTTTTCCCTAAAAAATAAACTACAATTCCTAAGCACAGTTTTTATCATATGTTTCCAAAGAGAAAGCTGGAGTATATCTTCAAAAATAGAAACTCAGATAAAATAATTTTATTATATATAAAAAGATAAAATTAAACATATCCAGGAATTAAAATTATAGGCAATAAAAGATTAGTATGAATGAGTTATTTCAAGAGTAAGAATTTTTCTTAGAATTTTTTTTTTCAATTTCTGACCATTATCTTTCTTGGAAAGGTAAGTTTTTAACTGATTATGAAAGTAACACCCATAAACACTCATTGTAGAAAACTTGGGGATACATAAACACCACTAATCCAAAAACATCCATCCATAATCACTACTAATTTGTGGTATATTTCCTTTCTTTTTATTGCTAAATTTGATAGCTGTTAAATAGTGTTATGTTTTATTTTACATACTTTTGAAAAAATTAACATTTTATCTTACTTTCCTACATTACAGTTCTTTTCAAACATCACTATTGTATTAGATATATCATCAGATTTTAAATTACCATTCTGCATTCTCCATAACCTTATTTTGTTTTCATATTCACAATTATAAATAACTATGTAATGACTATTTATCTTTGTGCCTAATTCTTTGTCTGCATTTATTACTTTCTTAGAATTGGTTCCTACCAAGCAGAACCGCATGGCAATGCTATTTATAGCTATTGAGACTTAATACTAAATTGTCTTGCAAAAGAACTCTACCAGTTTATATCACCCCATAAGCCACAAGTTTAACAAAAGTTTTGTGGGGGGAGGAAAAAAACCGATTAGTTTGTTAAATTAGTGACTTCTAGGCTGCAAGAACACAAAAGGCTTAGGAACCAGAATGAATTCAAATCTCAGTCTTCAGATTCAAGTCTTGAACAAGCCCATCATTCTGAGCCTCGTTTCTTCATCTGGACTCTACAGAGGCCTGATGGCAGAACTCCTTCCATTTATTCAGTATAGTAAAGATCCCGCGACGGCCGTACACTAAACAAACTGATGCCTTTTGTTCTAATAAAGGAACACGATCTTAAACAGCCTCCTTTCTCTGTGTGTGAGCATGCTTCATGAAACAGAGGCCCAATGCCATGATAAGCAACACAGTGCAATTATATGTCTTTCTCGCAGACCTAAAAGTGGACACTGCTACTTTGACACAAGTGTGTATGTTCATGCAGGAGCCACTCCTCCTTTATTTAAAGACTACATTTTCAGAAATACAGGTGCTGTCTTTCCGAAAGAATGCACTAAGCAACTGATATACATGGCTGTTAACCACATTTTAAAATTTAAGTTCAATACAAAGCCCAAATAATCCTATACCTTATAGTGTTATTTATCCTATATATCGCTTGCTACAGGAAAAATGTATTATTTTACCACCAAGTGATTAGGCAACTTTTGATGTGTAAAGATAATACCCAGGGTGTGTATACAGAGAATACTCACAAGGCCATGATCCACTCGGAAAAATGCCATTTGACAGGGTTTATTCAAAAGATTAGAAAAAGCAATAAAGGCATCTGCAGTATCCAAGTTCAAGATCAATACTGCTGCTATAAAGGACATGCCCTGAACCTGAGGGAAGGAGAAAAAGGTATGATCAGAGCAGCTCTTTTATTTTATTATTTGTACAAATTTATGACGTACATGTGAAATTGTGTTACACGTATATAATGCACCAAGATAAGTCAGGATATTTAAGGTGGACACCCGAGTACAACACATTTTTGTTAAGTAGTCACCTTACTTTACTATCACACCAATTCCTTCTATCTTACTATTTGTTTGTACCCTCTAACCCACTTCTCTTCAGCCTCCTTCCCCCACTGGCTCTTCCCAGTCTTGTTGATTTTACTGTGGAGGAACCGAAAGGCCCCCATGCTGGAGGTATCTGCACAGCCACCCCACCTGTCCACCATCACTGCCCTTACTCAGAGCCACCACTCTGCCACACCAGCACTTGGTCTGTTTTCCTTCTGTCCCCACCACACCTCACCCAAATGGAAAACCATAAACCAGGCCCCTCCTACTATACTTTATTTGAAATATTACCCTTTAGCATGTAGAGTGTCCTGGCGCTGTAGACATGTATATCTAGCCTGGTGGGCTTAATTTGAAACCATGCACACACACATACCCACCTACTAAGCTGCAGAAATACCAGCAAAACATTTTTTTAATGGTTATTGCTTTTAAAATGATTAAAGCTTTTTTTTTAAAGCTTTTTAAAATCTCATGCAAAAGTGAAAATCACATCTAATTAAAATGTGATTGCATGTCACAGAACAGCCATGTCGCTTCATTTATGAGGAAATTGAGAATTCAGTCAACTCATTTACCATGAGGCTTCATACTACTCAAAATAAATAAATAAATAAATAAATAAGGTATTCAACTTGACATTTACAGCTAAACTGTGATGGATAATATCTGACTTTCTTTTTAGATAGTAACATTAAAAATATGGAGAAACTTGACTTACATAACCCACATCCGGTCGGTAGCAAGTATAAGCGCCCAAAATACTGTGCAACATGTCATGGTATGGACCGCCCTAAAGATCAACACACCAAAAACAACACATGCATAAGTATTGTTAGTTTCCAGGGTAACACGTGATGCTGTTGCTGCCCAGTCATACCTGCTATTTTCAGAGGGGAATTATTAGCCAAGCATTTTGCTAGCAGCTTTATACGCACCATGTAATTTAATAAACTAACTACCAGTTCTCAAATTTAAAAGTCTTAATCTATAAAACTGCTTTGAAAAAAGCTGGTGGTCAGGTATGAGCATCACCCTAGAAAAGTGTGCTTAACGTGGCTCCTGCTGTGTGCCCTTCAAAGTTCAACAGGTGAGCCAAGGACTCAAGAGTCCTTCAAAGCAGGCGGCTGCCCATGATCATTCAGACAGTCTCCCAGCTGTGCCCATCATCTTGACCTCCTATCTCCTTGCTTTTCATTCTCTTTGTTTCTTCTGTGTTGTTCTGAATGGCAGGTTTAGGAAGTACATTCTAAGTCTTAAGTTCTAGTCACTACCTTTTTATTTTTTTTTTTTTTTTGAGGCAATCTCACTTTGTCGCCCTTGGTAGAGTGCCATGCTGTCATAGCTCACAGCAACCTCAAACTCTTGGGTTCAAGCGATTCTCTTGTCTCAGCCTCCTGAGTAGCTGAGATTACAGGTGCCGGCCATAACACCCAGCTATTTTTAGAGACAGAGTCTTATTCTGCCTCAAGCTGATTCCAAACCACCAATCCACCTGCCTTGGCCTCCCAGAGTGCTAGGATTACAGGCGTGAACCACGACACCCAGCCTGTCCCTACCATTTTATTTCAAACATTCATTCTCTCAGTTCTCCCATCCCTCCATGACTTCCACTTGCTACTGCAACTGTTTTTAAGTGTTGGATTTTTTTTCCAACTGAGTATAGGAAAAAGCGCAGAGATGCTTCACACTGATGTTAGCAAGTCTGAAGGCACTATGAGAGGACTGGCTTAGCCCAGATTACACTCACTGTCCATGTCTACCATGTACCTACCAGTTAACATAGGGAATAAAAGTCACTCATAGTAAGAGGCTGGGAAGTCACTCCACAGGTGGCTTACAAAAGAATGCCCTACGGACCATCACATTCTCATATATTGAAAAAGAAAAAAAAGAGACATTTCCAAATCACAGAGGGACAAAAGAAAAAAAATAGTAATGAGAGTGCAAAAATACACCACCGGGGCTGAGAGGGTAGGGAATGGGGATCGGAAGTGGCACCACACGCCAACTTAAGGACTAGTATGACTATAGCAGAGTCTTATCCAGCTGGAGGCTAACTGAGAAAAATACAAGTATGACATTGAACTTTTCTTAAAGCTAAATGCTTTTAACTTGAAAGATTTTCTACCACTGTAATCATATCCTTCCTTCTCACTTGGTGCTGAGATGGTAGTTCCTTATTTTAAAAGCCTTTAACTTGTTTTGGACATCTCTGTTTCTCCACACTTCCCTCTCCCCCTGCAATTTTTTTTTTTTTTAATGTTACCCATTTATGAGATTTAGAACCTTGGGAATCACAGATTGAGGGAGAAACATGCAAAGGAACTCAGAAAGAAAAGGCAACGTCTCTGCCTTCTGTCTCCAACTCCGTCCAAAAGACCCCTAGCCTAGAACTCACCCCCCCCTCCTCTGCTGAACACATCTTTCTGCTCCCAGACAATAACCCAGTGATTCTCAAGGTCAACATTCTGAAGCTGAGTCCCTAAGATATGTTCCATAAGAAACATTCTGGGGTTCATTGAAAAAGCTGTGCCTGGGCTTCTGTGGGGCTTTATCATGTGCTCAGGCTTCTGTGTCTACTCAAGAAGCACTCAAGATTTACAATCACATAAACTCCTAAACATCTCTAACCACAGGCACCTCAAGAGCCCTGCATAACTAACACTTCAAGAGGAATTTTAGGAAATCCTGCTCTAGCTGTTATCTGTTATTTGCTCCCTTTCTTCACACCAGTCCTCCCAGAATTTTCCCTTTCTTCTTAGCACATTAATCAATGCTAACTATAAAGATTTCTAAACTACTTTTGGCTCAGCACCTGTGGCTCAAGTGGCTAAGGCGCCAGCCACATACACCTAAGGTGGTGGGTTCGAATCCAACCCAGGCCCGCCAAACAACGACGGCTGCAACCAAAAAATAGCCAGGCGTTGTGGCGGGCGCCTGTGGTCCCAGCTACTTGGGAGGCTGAGACAAGAGACTCATTTAAGCCCAGGAGTTGGAGGTTGCTGTGAGCTGTAGTGCCACAGCACTCTACCCAGGGTGACAGCTTGAGGCTCTGTCTCAAGTGAGATCCCACACTGGATTAAAAAGTCAGGAATACAAGCTCTCTCGGATGCTGCAGCCACTCTGTCATCACACTCATGCTTCTGTGGCTGCCTGGCACAAAATGAGTCTTGAACCTTGGTTGAATTTAGTTGTCTTTGAGTTTCAAATTATGTTCAAAGATAATAATAATAACTAGAATTGGCATGTTCCAAGCACTGTCAACAGCCCTCTGAGGTTGGTATGATCACCTCCACAGCACAGATAACAAACTAAGGCTCAAAAGTGCTAAGTGATTTGCCCAAGGCCATACAACTAATAGGAAGGCAGTCTGGGACTCAAACCCAAGTCTGTCTGAAATCACAGGTAAAACACCTTTCTATAGAGCCTGGGCCTTCCTCAAGAACCCAGCGAGGGGAACATGAACTGTGAGTACAGGAGGGAGGAGGACTTTGGACTTAGGGAGGAGAAAGATGAGCAGAAAAACTGAAATCTGCCTGGCAGGAGAAGATGAGCTCTTTCCAGAGAAAACAGGCTGCTCAGAGTTAACTTTCTGCCCCAACACCAGGGCAGCACTCACAGGGTTTACGAAAACCTTCTAGTAGTTTTACAGATTTGCTCTCTTTCTCTTTTGCGAAGATTTCTGAAGACCCAAGTAAGAATGTTTCTGACTGGATTTAGAGATTGGGGGAAGCAAGAGAACAAGAACATCCTACCAGGCATCACTGGGGTCATCACTGTGCCCTGAGTTGACCCACATCACAGCAGTAAAACCACAGGACTCTCCAGCAGGCACAAGGAGCCAACCGGAGCAGAAAGGAAATGGGTAAAGGGGTAGGATGGGCCTGCAGACCCAGGACACTGTGACCAGCTGGCAGGACACAGTGCTCTATCTTCTGGACCCGTGACACTCAGGCTCTTGTGTCCCCTGCTTTATGGAGTTATTCTCACACTGCAAAACTCCCTGATCCTGGAAGCTAAAGCCTCTTATCAGTCCTCCCCTCCAAAAGCACATGTGATGCCCAACTTCAATGCTGCCAGCTCTAAATGGCTACTCCCTCAGAGGCCTGGACCCCATCCTGGCTCTCTGACTGCCCTTCTCACCTAGAGGGCAAGTGTGCCTCAGAGCTCTGCCCTTAGCACTCCCTGCTCCAGAACAGGGAGCAAGCTTACTCATTTCCACCCCTGTCCCAGATGGTTTCCACCCTAGAACAGAGCAACCATTTGTAAGTAGGGTATGTGGATCTGAACAATGTCTTCTCATCCCTTTAGCAAAGTTCTCTCTTCCAAAAGAACTGGAGATTCCCTGAATTATCAGCTGTTTGATGCTTCCATTCTAGTTCATCCTCTGCCTGGAATGCACCACCTGTTCTCCAATTACACTGCTATTGAAACCTAAGCACAGTGTGACAGCAGCTTCCTTCCCTCGTGATTCCCACCCCTGAGCCCTCCCCCGCTGTCCACCCTCGACCACCCCACCCCAGCCCCACACCACCACAAGAAGGAGCCTGACCTGACCTGACCTGTGCTGTCAAAGTGCCTGGACACAACCACAGTCCTGCTAAGCCTACCTAGCCTCGACATCTCCAGGCCTGTCATTCTAGTGGCCACTTAACTGATTTGTTCTAATTTATTCCACCACCCTTTACTAGTTAAAAGGCATGATTTTAGCAACCTGGGCATGACAGTGTCAAGACTAGAAATTCCAAGTCTGTTCTAGAGGCAATGAGGTGAAAAGAAGAGCTGAGCGGAGGCTGGGGCAGTGAACCACAAAGACGAGAGTGTGAGCTAAACTGAGGCAGTGAGGAGAGAGAAGGGACAGATGCCAGGTATTCCTAAAGGAGGACCTTCTAGAACGACCCACTATAGAATGGATGAGGGGCCAAATAAGATGCCTAGATAAACGTCCACAGGGTTGAAGAACGTGTTCGAACAGCTCTGGTCAGAGGACTCTACAACCTTCTGCTGGTAGCCTTGTCTTACGTTCAAATGCCCACGGAGAGGCTCCATTCCACTCTTACTGCCATCGAAGGAATGTGTCTTATCTTCCACAGTGTTCCTAGTGACGTCACTGGGAACACCTGCTTAGAATCCCCATCACCTCTGCTCAGCCACCTGCCCTGGCTACACCAAGGCTGCCAATAATTTCCCTTTCTCCATCAGGCTCGCCACACTGGGCTCATAGAAGCCAAAGCAAATCACACGGCAATCATCCTGCCCAGTGGGTGCTGCTGCTAAGCACAATGCTGAAGACAGAAGAGCACTGAGGAAAGCCTTGCCAGGCAAGGGCGCCCACAGGGCCTTTCCTGTGCTAGACCTTCAGAGGCTCCTCAAAAGGACAGGAACATCTTTAAAAGGAAAAGTATGGCCATATTAAATATTTGTTGTAAAGGATCAGTTTACAATTATTTGAAAAAGTATAAATGTATTAACAGTAAGACTCACCATACCCTTATTCCCACTCTCTAAATACCTAAGTACTTTTGAACTTGATTACAAATACATGCAGTTTGACATCTATGAATTTTAGATAAAACATGCTTGAAAACAACAAATCACCACCACTTACTTGCTGGAAAATGCAGAGATTAGGAAATGTTCTAGAAATGTCCAGTTTAATAAGTTCCAGACTAGCTTCTCTGTCTGCTGCTGAAAACCCAGCATCTGCCAGAAGATGTCAAAAGTCATTACACTTATCAGTGGCAGAATGTGTAGTATAATTAGGAGGCTTTGAAGTTTTATAGAAATGAAACAAAGAAGTTCTCTATAAGTATACTGACCTAATTACATCTTGACATAAGAAAGAGTCCACCTTCAGAGTACAAAACAATTTATAGAGTTTCTTATATTAGGGAATGAAAATTCCTATGGCACCAGTTAGATCATTGTTATTTTCTAGATATTTTCATTGATATTTTCTAGAGTCTGAAATCAAAATCTAATTTGATTTACTAATCTGATTACTGTTCATCAACGACAATCAGAGGAAAATAAGGATAAGCAGGAGAATACACACAAACTCCAACCATTTAAAGAAAAAAAAAATCCTTACGTGATCTCAAACATTATTGGCATAAACAGTATGTTTAGGAGCTATTACAGCACTACGCTGTGTAATACTTCTAACAAATACTCAGGAATAACTTGCTTTATATTTTTTGAATTCTAATGTCACAAAGACAATAAAAAAGATCAATTAAAAACATACTTCTTGGCCAACAGAAGTCATCATTCTTGAGCATTATAAAAAATCCTAAAAGCATCATCTAGCACTTCTCAGTGCTCCTGCTTCTTTGGAAGTCATTCCAATGATCCCCTACAAGTCCACAGTAAACCAATCCCAGGTGTCAGGTTATCACAAATCATGTCAACAGCTTTTATGGAAAAGAAACTGGTTACGACCAGCCCTCTAACACATTAGGATATAAAAACCTCTCAGGAACTGGTATGTTCTATTTCATATAAAAGTTTTTTTCCTTTAATTTTTGTCTCAAAAACCCCCTTTCCCATGAATTTGTAGAATCCACTTTGCCCACAAATGTAGTGCTGTGCACTTTGCTATGTAACAAAGGATGCCACACACAACTACCCAAAGCAGCACACTGGACTGAGAAAGGTCCATACCTTCACTCTCCACTTCAGAACCTCCCGTGCTCAGGGACCGCCACTTCTCCTTGGCTCGGGCAAGACAGATGTCAAAAAGTTCTGAAAAAAAAAAAGCCTCTGGTTAAGTCTTTTGTAAGTATATGAGTATTTTTCCTCACAAATACCAGAAAACATACTACTATCTCCTTCAAATATTTAAGTTCAATTATAATAGGGTTCATTGCACACTAAATAGGTTACTTAGACAATTCCCCCTCAATCTGGCCTGGAAGTATTTCCATTGGTTAAAGACATAGCCGTGTACAAAGAAAGAACATACAGAATACCACTAGGCCTGGTATTTACCTCTATTATATAACCCACCCACAAAACTATCTTGTCTTGATTTGTTATTTGTCCATTGCCTCTACCAGACTGAGCACCTATGAAGGTCTCTTGCTCACCTCTGCATCCAGAACAAACCACAGAAGACTTGATCCAGAGCACTGTGACCAGTGAGCATCTGACTAATGAAGAGAGGAGGAAAGGAGCAGCAGAAAACCATCTGGTTTCAAATTAAAGACATGATGGAATTGCTCTGTGTCTGGCACAGGCCTCCTATTCATGCTGCCTGGAGTGAAACAGGGGTGGGAGCAGATCCCAGGAATGGCCAGTGGCTTCAAAAATAAGGACTCTTGGGCGACACCTGTGGCTCAAAGGAGTAAGGTACCAGTCCCATATGCTGGAGGTGGCAGGTTCAAACCCAGCCACAGCCAAAGAATAACTAAATAAATAAGGACTCTTGCTAGCAGAGAAGGATCATGACAGTCACAAAATCTCCACATTTAGAATTTATTTGATAGTTCTTCTCTAGGTAGTTTTGTAGGAGTTAAGTAACAGTTCATGCTCACAAAACATACTAGTTTGCACAGAGCTCCATGGGTATGTACATGCCCCACTCTTCTTCAAGCAGCAACAATGGAGACTGACCCCTCCAAGTTCTTTTTTTTTTTGGAGACAGAGCCTCAAGCTATCCCCCCTGGGTAGAGTGCCATGGCTTCACAGCTCACAGCAACCTCCAACTCCTGGGCTCAAGTGAGTCTCCTGCCTCAGCCTCCCAAGTAGCTGGGACTACAGGCGCCCGCCCCAACGCCTGGCCATTTTTTGGTTGCAGCCATCATTGTTCTTTGGCGGGCCCGGGCTGGGGATTCAAACCCGCCACGTTGGGTGTATGTGGCTGGCACCTTAGCCGCTTGAGCCACAGGCACCGAGCTGCCCCTCGAAGTTCTTGCTCAGAGCCCTGATTCCCTCCCCATCCAGTCCCAGCTGCCTCCTGTTCCTTTGGCTTTTGATGCTTTCCAGCTCCCAGTTATTTCAGAGCATTAATAATCACTAGTCAATCAGAAACTTTAACTGCAGCCACCCACAGAATTTTCATCAACTTGATTTTTTTCCATCATTACTTTCGGAAAATAAAGTAGTGAACACTTGCCTTCTGTATGCTATTTTATCAACATGTAACTCAAGTTCTAATAACATTATAATCCAACAAGTAACATCTTGATTAATGTCCCTTGTTCTAGACTTATAAAGGATCCAACTTACAATCTACGGTGGTCATGAAGTGCAGTTTCACAGCATCACTGTTCACAGGCAGCACCTCAGCGCCATTGCTCTACAACTAATCTGGAAGTGCTCTGAGCTCATGGCTAGAGTACCCAGGGAAGCTTTTCCTGCCCTTAGCCTCCATGAGGCAAGCCAGGCTTTGGTCTTTTTGGCAGGAAATGGGTAAAAGCCACTATGTGACCGTGACCATGAGGGAACCACTTCCCACATAAAGAATTCGGCAGCCAGCTGCCTCCAGGTAAAAAAGTGTCAGAGTTTCAAAAAACTCTCCATCATGGTTTTATTGGCGCATATTTTGGGGTGGGCTGGGCTGGGGTAGCAGTTAAAACAGCTACAACTTCTTCCCAGATACCCTGGCCCAATTTCAAAGTTCAAGACTTACATAGGCAAGAATGAAGTGTTTTTTTTTGTTTTTGTTGTTGTTGTTGGGGATTCATTGAAGGTACAAGAAACCAGGTTACACTGATTGCATTTGTTAGGTAAAGTCCCTCTAACAATCATGTCTTGCCCCCCAAAATGTGTATCCTACACCAAGACCACAGCCCCTCCCTCCTTCCCTCTCTCTGTTCTTCCTTTTCCCCACCCCTCCCTCCTTCTTTCTCTCTCTTAAGAGCAAAGTTTTAATAGTACTATTGGGGTGACTTTCAGTAACTTTCCAAATGAATAAACAAAAAGAACAAAACTCTGGGGCTTTCCAAGTCAAAATATAGGCTTCAGAATCAACTAGGGCTAGAATCATAATTCTGATCCTACACATACTAGCCTTGAGGCCTGATGTATAGTACCCTGCCTTTTCAGTATGCTAAATGTTCCCAAGAGGAAAATGGAGGCCAAGTACAGTGTCTCACACCTGTAATCCTCGCATCCTGGAAGGCTGAGGTGGGAGGATCGCTTGAGGTCAAGAGTTGGAGACCAGCCTGAGCAAGATCGAGAACCCATCTCTACTAAAAATAGAAAACTTAGCCAGGCATTGTGGCAGGCTACTATAGTCTCAGCTACTCGGGAGGCTGACCCAAGAGTTTCACTTGAGCCCAGGAGTTTGAGGTTGCTGTGTGCTGGGCTGATGCCACTGCACTCTAGAGTGAGACTTTGTTTCAAAAAAAAGGAGAAAAATGAGGGCAAGATCACAGTCTATTAAATCAGGCATGCAAGTGAAGAACCTAACATGATCCCTAGTACTCAACAACTGGAATCCAAGATCATTTGTGTTCTTACATGAGTATGGAGATGTGGTAAAAGTAAAACTAAGTAGGACCGGGCAGCGTCCGTGACTCAGTGGGTAGGGCACGAGCCCCATATACTGAGGGTGGCAGGTTCAAACCCAGCCCTGGCTGGACAGGACAGCAATGACAACTGTAACAAAAAAAAAGAAAGCTGGGCCTCGTGGTGGGCGCCTGTGGTCCCAGCTACTTGGGAGGCTGAGGCACGAGGCTGTGATACCATGGCACTCTACCGAGGGCAACAAAGTAGGTCTCTGTCTCAAAAAAAAAAAAAAAAAATTAAGTAGGACCCAATAATGTGTCATTCATTCACTCAACAAATATTTCCTGAGAGTCTGCCATGTGCAGAGACCTAAACTGGCACAATGACAAAGCAGAGAGCACAGCAGATGAGGACCCAGGCTCCTGAGTATGAGTTCTACTGGGGCCACTGACATTAACCAGTTAATCACAGAAAACAGACACAGTTTAAACAAAAAGAGCCAAATGCAGGCTTTAGACAAACATTCAAGACATGCAACTTATTATTTAATTAGCTATTTAGCCCAACCTACTACAATATGGCCCACAGAAGGTTTTAATTTTAAGAAAGCAACCCAGGGCAGTGCCTGTGGCTCAGGGAGTAGGGCGCCAGCCCCCTATACCAAAGGTGGTGGGTTCAAACCGGCCCTAGCCAAAAACTGCCAAAAAAAAAAAAAGAAAGCAAGCAACCTAGTCATCAGAGAGAACCAAAACTGTAAAATACACACAGACACACAAAGTACTGTGTCTTACATTCAATTTGTACAGACAGGGTTACTGACAGAGTTTAGAAATTTTCAAGAACATGGACTAAAATACATGTTCAGCAATTTCTTCAAACCTCAAATTCTGAGGATGCTTTTAAAAAATCAGTAAGTTAAACATCATACATCTTCTTATGTACGAATGTTAAAATCAATTTCTGGCAGATATGGATTAGCCAAAAGGTGTTCTGGAGGCAGTTCACTGCTCCCATGTTCCCTCCTCAGGGTCCCGCTGCACAGTATTCATTAAGTACCCAACCAACAGCTGATGCTCTTCAAGATAAATACAGCAACAAAACCCCAACTAAGAGAGGGAAAATACAAATTAATCTGTTTTAAAGTCAAAGGCCTTCACCAGAGTTGAAACTGCATCATCAACTCCATGAGGCAGTTCTGGATGCCTGACAGAACAACAGGGAGGCGTCCCTGTCCTTCTGCAGCTTCAAGTGCAGGCAGGGAGACAGAAATAAGAAGAAACAACTACCACTGACTAAGCAGTTGATTGGAAGCCTGTGGGCTCCTGGTGCTTATTTCACTGTGGCCACACAGAGCCCTGGGGAGAGCTTGGCACACACCATAAGTGAATTCCATCTGATAGAAGAGATACAGACTGAGTGAGAATGGCAAGCACAGTTCACATACAACCTCCCAGACTTAAGATACCAGAGGCTAAAGACCCCAGTCCTAGCACAGGAAGTTGTCCCATAAAAAAAACTCCCACAAAAAAAACAGATACCCCTAGTATAATAAATATCTCCATGAAAAGGCTCGGTGCCTATAGCTAAGTGGTTAGGGCACTGGCCATATGCACTGGGGCTGATGGGTTTGAACCTAGCCCGGGCCTGCTAAAACGACGACAACTATACAACAACAACAAAAATAGCTGGGCGTTGTGGTTGGGCACCTGTAGTCCAAGCTACTTGGGAGTCTGAGGCAAAAGAATCACTTAAGCCCAAGAGTTTCAGGTTGCTATAAGCTGTGACACCACGGCACTCTATCAAGGGCAACAAAGAGAGACTACTAAAAAAAAAAAAAAGGTCTCCATGGAAAGAGCCACTGCCTCTGCCTATGATCATATTCATGTCATAGTCAAGGCTGGCCTAAACAGGACTTTGATAAGTGATCCTATGGTACCTCATGCTGATGATAAGACCCATCTCCACTAACCCCTTTATCTAGGCTTTTGTTCTGAACTACCAAGTAACTGAAGCATCTAGGACTAAACCCAGGCCTCCCAGTTGCCCCCTCTCCTCAAAGACACAACCACCTGGGCTCTCAAAAGACACAGCTTCATGGCAATGGCTGCCATTCTTCCCAAAAGGGCAGAAGGGACAGAAAAGGCCACAGGACCCAGGGAATCAATTCCCCAGGCCTAGGATCATGCAAGCCACTCACCGTGGGTGATATTTAACTCGTTGCCAATGGCTAAGCTCCAGACTTTGCCTCTCACACTTGGAGGGATTCCCTGCCACCATAAATCTCGAACTTTTCTAGAGCACCACCTGGATAAAAATGGAAGCATGAGTTTAAGAGTTGGTTTTCCACAAGTAAATAGTTGTCTATCTGGCCCCAAACTACCAGGAGTAAGGATGCACAATTACATAAGGCACAGCCCTTGGCCTCAGGGAACTAACAGGCCAGCATTCTGTTAAAGATCAGATCAACAATTCCCTTTCACTGGGCGACTATAGCGACAGGTGTTGAAGGGTACAGCACAGCAGGGAAAAGAACAAACCAGAGGGCCCAGGGCACTATTCTGGACCAAATTCTAAATAACTGGTAGCAATTTAAGCACATGAATGATGGGAAGACATTTCTGAGTAGAAAACATAGAAACAAGAAATTTCCTGGCCTCCTACAGAAAGTGCAAATCGCTGTGTCCAGGTGAGGAGTGGGAAGCAGTGCCCCTGCAGAGCTGAGGTAGAAGGAAGACCCCAAGGACCCCGAGAGGTGGGCTGAGAGCCGAGCCCTGACAGCCACCAGACTACTGCACACATAGGTGTGAGCTCCCAAATTAACTGTGGAGAAGAACTCTGCTGATTCAGAACATTCTGAACTGCACAAAGATGTTTAGGACTGCTGGTCTCAATGAACACACACTGCCAAAAGACTGCAGAAGGTAAAGGTTCTACAGACTCTCCCAGTGCTCCTGAATGCAGCACAGTGGGGGAGACAGGCTTTGAGGCTGCAGTAACCAGGTTTCATCCTAATTTCACCCTTACCTGTGGAATATGGGGCAAATTACTTTTCTTCTCTGAACCTCTGTACAATCTTCTCTAAAATCAAGAGCATGACTGGGCACAGTGGCTCACACCTGTAATCCAAGCACTCTGGGAGGCTGAGGCAGGTGGACTGTTTGAGCTCAAGAGTTTGAGACCAGCCTGAGCAAAAGGGAGACCCTATTTCTACTAAAAATAAAAAACTGAGACAAGAGGATTGTGTTGAGTCCAAGAGTTTGAGGTTACTATGAGCTATGATGCTAAAGTATTCTACTGGGGGCAACAAAGAGAGGAGAAGGGAGGAGAAGGGAGGGAATGGGAGGGGAGAGGAGAGGAGAAGAGCAGAGCAGAGAAAAGAAAGAAAAAGGAAAGAAAGAAAGACACAAAGAAAGAAAAGAGACAGAAAAATAGAAAGACAGAAAGACAGACAGAAAGAAAGCCAGAAAAAGACAGAAAGACGGACAGAAAGAAAGACAGAAAATGAAATACAGACAGAAAGATACAAAGACAGATAGAAAGAAAGAAAAAGACAGAAAGACAGACAGAAATACAGAAAGGAAGAAAGACAGACAGACAGAGAGGAAGAGAGACAGAAAGACAGAAAGAAAGACAGATGGACAGAAAGACAGAAGAAGACAGAAAGACAGACAGAAAGAAAAAGAAAGCAAGACAAAAAGAAAGACAAAAGAAAGAAAGAAAGAAATCAAATCAAGAGGACGTTGTGAGCAATAAGTGGGATGTGTGCACTCAGATCACACCAAACACAGAACACTGTAGGGTAGACCAGGGTGGGTCCTGACCTCTCAGAGCAGCAAAGGTTCTGAGAAGCTCTACTGTTGCTACCGGGTCCTATTTAAGAAAAAGCGTGAAATGCTTCCTGCCAGCAACAAGCCTTTTGAGGGCAGGCTCAGACTTTATTTTCCTGGTGAAGACCCTTAGAAGGGCCATCTGACTTCTACAGTTTAAGTGACAACCTGGTGAGTGTCATAAGTGAGTCTCCAACTTTCTGACATGTGGGGCAAGAGCACAGGAAAGCTGGCATCCAAGCTTGCTGGGTGCTTTTGTGTACAGCCCTGGGACTACTGCCCACAATCTGGCCTCTACCCATTCTGAACTCACAGGAAGAAAACCAGACCTATTGCTGTCTCTCAGATGTAAAGATGACAGGAGCTGCCAAACCTTGCTGGGTACACACTCCACTGATACTGGGGGTTGTCACCAAAGAAGACCTGGCCTCCACCCTCAGAGGGAAGAGGACAAGCTTGAGCAGACAGCTGCCCAGAGAAGTATTCCCAGAGGAGACTTCCACAGTCACTTCCAGCCAGGATGGGGGCAGCAAGTCTTCCCTGAGAAAGACTAAGCTTTAAAGAACATGCAGGAGAAGCAGGGTACAATGCTCACGCCTGTAATCCCAGCACTCTGAGAGGTCAAGGCAGGAGGATCACTTGAGCTCAGGAGTTTGAGACCTGCCTGAGCAAGAGTGAGACCCCATCTCTACTACAGATAGAAAACTTAGCCAGTCATCATGTCAGGCTGTAATCCCAACCCCTCAGGAGGCTGAGACAGGAGAATTGCCTGAACCCAGGAGTCTGAGGTTGCTGTGAGCCACCCAATGCACTTGGGCCTAGTCATCAGAGTGAGACTCTGTCTCAAAACAAAAACCACACAGGAGAGAGTTAGCAGGACAAGACATGTAGGGCAAGAGCATCAGGAAGGGAACATACAAAGGCCCTGAGCAACATGTCTAGGCAACTCCCTGGGGAGAAGGATCTATCCAAGCAGAGGAGAAATGAGGGGTGAAGATGCAGAGGGAGGGCAAACCATCTTGAAAGGGGTCCCGCTAGTTAAACCAAGGATTTAAATTTTACACTGAGAATCATAGGAAGTTGCGAGAATTTCAAGTGGGGAAGTGACACAGACTTGTGCTTTAGAAAGATGGCTCGGCGCCTGTAGCTCAACCGGCTAAGGCGCCAGCCACATAAACCTAAGGTGGCGGGTTCAAATCCAGCCCGAACCCGCCAAACAACAATGACGGCTGCAACCAAAAAATAGCCGGGCGTTGTGGCAGGCGTCTGTGGTCCCAGCTACTTGGGAGGCTGAGGCAGGAGAGTTAGAGGTTGCTGTGAGCTGTAATGAATGGTGGGTTCAAACCCGGCCCTGGCCAAACTGCAAAAAAAATAGCCGGGCATTGTGGCAGACGCCTGTAGCCCCAGAGTTGGAGGTTGCTGTCAGCTGTGATGCCACAGTACTCTATCAAGGGTGACAAAATGAGACTCCTTCTCTTAAAAAAAAAAAAGAAAGAAAGAAAAGAAAGATAGATGGCTCAGCAGATGAGTAGAAGATGAACTGCAAAGAAGGGGAAGAGGCTGGCACAGTATCTAGGAAAGGGAGAGCAAGGGCTGAACCAAGGCAGAAGTGAAGGGAGACTCTGCAACTTGAACTTACTACATTGAAGGTTTTCTCTGAGCTATAATGGTGATGCTGCAACCAACAGATTCCAGAAAGAAAAGATCTGCAGTACCCACTCTGTCATTTCTTACATTGTTTCCCAGTTAGGTAAAATTTCATTATTCCAAGTAAGAACAGCGTTGCCAATGCTTTCCTCTACTCTGCACCTTTCTTCCAGTTGCTTTTTCCTCCGCTGGGCTTCTTTCAGCTCTAGAAATCACAATTAAAAAGGAAAAAAACACATCTATTAACTAACAGCCACTATTTTTAACCTAGGTGATTTTTCTTAAATAGTCACACCGCAAAAGCACCAGGAAAATGACACTAAAGTAGAGCAAACTTCATCTCTCAAGATTCACTTCATACTCCACGGATTTTAGAATCCTTAGGCATAGTCTCCTTTCTGACAAGCCTTTTCGGTATAACATGCAGACACAAAAGTGAACAAAGAGGAATGCAATTCAACTAACACAAAATAGAGAAACCAATGAAGCCATCAAAACAACGTAAGTCACCCAGACACCAGAAACAAAATCTGCCCATTCCCCTTCCCAGTGTAACTGCCATGCTGATTTCTCACAGCTGGAGCATTACTCAATGTATGAATAGTAACTGAGAAATACCACATATTTAGTTTGTATACACTATTTTATTGCAATAAAATACATGTAAAATGTACCATCTTAACTATTTTAAATACAGTTCAGTGGTATGAACTCCATGCATATTGCTATGCAGCCGTCACCACCATCACCGTAACTTAGTTTCCTCAAACTGAAGCTTTGTACCCACAAAACGCTAACTTTCCCATCCACCCTTCCCCTGCAGCCACTGGCAGCCACCATCGTACTTTCTCTATCTATAAATTTTACTACTCTCAGGGCCTCACCTAAGTGGAATCACACAGTATCTGTCCCTTTGTGACTGCCTATCTCACAAGGGTATTATTATCTTCAAGATTCACCCATGTTGTAGCATGAGTCAGAATTTCCTTTCTTTTAAAGGTTGAATGATATTCCATTGTACATATATATCACATTTTATTATATTAATATATACTTTTTAAATATCTACGAAAACAGTTTTTTAGGTGTTGTAAAGAATTTTATCAAATCTGATCACATCTTCTTGTAAATATAGAAAACAGCCCGGAGAGGGAAAGAAATTTTGCATGTCATTATTAACTAATGCTTTCTCTAGTATTTTTATCCTGTACTGTCTCTTTTCTCACCTAAGTTCAAGATGTTATTTTCTTTTTTTTTTTTCCCTTTTTGAGACAGAATCTCATTGTGTCACCCCTTGGCAAAGTACCATGGCACCATAGCTCATAGCAACCTCTAACTCTTGGTAAAGTGCTTCTCTGGCCTCAGCCTCCAAAGTAGCTGGGACTACAGGTGCCCGCCACAACACCTGGCTACTTTTGTTGTTGTTGTTGTTGTTGTTGTTGTTGTTGTTGTAGTTGTCATTGTTGTCTGGCAGGCTTGGGCTGGGTTCGAACCCGCCAGCTCCGGTATATGTGGCTGGCGCCCTAGCTGCTAAGCTACAGGTGCTAAGCCCAAGGTGTTATTTTCTTGAATAAAGCTACCATGAATGAATAGAAGCATGCACTTTTGATCGAAAACTATAAATTTCTTTTTTTTTTTGAGAGTCTCACTGTGTTGACCTGGGTAGAGTGCCGAGGAGTCACAACTCACAGCAACCTCAAACTCTTGGGCTTAACCAATTCTCTTGCCTCAGCCTCCCAAGGACCTGGGACTACAGGCGCCCGCCACAACACCCAGCTATTTTTTTTCTTGTTGTTGTTGTAGTTGTCATTATTGTTTGGCAGGCCTGGGCCAGGTTCGAACCTGCCACCCTCAGTGTATGTGGCTGATGTAGTAACCACTGTGCTATGGGCGCTGAGCTGAAAATTATACATTTTAAAGAATTAAAGAGTTAGGCAAAGTTCAGGTTCTATGACTCCAAAGGCAAAAAGAAAATGCTCAGAAAGACACAAAATCTCATGCCACCTTATGTAACCGCACGTGTGAATTCCATTACCTCGTTTTTTGGCCTGAACCACCATTTCTTCATACTGTTGTCTGTGTTTCTGAGCTTCGTCAGCTGGTTTTGCAGGGAGATTTCTTGATAGGAAATAAATGGATTTTCACTGCTGTAAATATCAAGTCTTTGAGGAAAAAACTGAAGCATTATTTACTAAAAAATGTATAGCTCAAAGACCAAAACCTAAATTTAAGATTACACAAGTTCTTTGACAAACTAAAAATATTTTCTCACAAAAGTGAAGCAGACTTATTATAAAACAAATGATTTATATTAATAGAAATAAAAAATAATAATTATCCACAATTGCAATGTAGATAAGATAAACACTTAATCTTTTTTGGTATATTTTGATTGACCACAATATACTAACAACTGTCAACAGTTAATCCTTGCGGTAGGGTGCCCTAACAGCATCTGTTACATGTTTATACAAACACATTTCCTGGCCAGTTTCTGTAAGTGTGCAAATTTCACATTAGCTATGCAGTTTCACAGTTCTAAGCATGTAAAAAGTAAATGAGAATGAGCCTTCAAATCCTATTAAAACAAAACAAAACAAAACAAAACAAAAACCCCACATGCTCTCTTTCAGAAACATTCTTGTGAAATTGCTGGCACTGGAATTAATGGAAAGGCAACAGCATCTGACTGCTTGTACCCTCCTGTGAGATCCACATTTTGAACAACTGTCACTTGCTGCAGGAGAATGTGACATGTCCCCAGTTCACACTTCAGTCATTACAAGGACTGGCCTCTACAGCGCTAAGTCTTTACCAATGTTCTCTACCTAACTTCATAGCCCTCCCAAGCAGGCTTTCTCTCCTCCACATACACACAATTTTCAAGGACCAAGAATTAACATAGGAAACATCTCTTCTTTAGATTTCACCAATTTTAAATGTCAGGGATAGCAGACTCTTAGGGGTTAACTAAGGAGGTTTTACAACATCTTTTTTCTTTTCTTTTTTAACTTTAACCAAATAATTTCATTTTCTCTGAATTTTTCTTTCTCTTTTTCTTATTGTTTGGGATTTGTTGAGGGTACCAAAGAATTAGGTTACTCGGATTGCATTTGTTAAATAAAGTCTCTCACTTTTTTCTTTTTTTTTTTAGAGACAGAGTCTTACTTTGTCGCCCTTGGTAGAGTGCTGTGGCATCGCAGCTCAAAGCAACCTCCAGCTCTTGGGCTTACATAATTCTCTTGCCTCATCCTCCTGAGTAGCTGGGACTATAGGCGCCCGCCACAATGCCCAGCTATTTTTTGTTGCAGTTTGGCTGGGGCTGGGTTTGAACCCGCCACTCTCGGTATATGGGCCCAGTGCCCTCCTCACTGAGCCACAGGTGCCGCCTCTTTTTTCTTTTTTTAAACTGGGGACTATCTGTTCAAACACAGTATTCTAATCTAAGAAAGTTAATACTTAAAAAACAGGGAAATTGTGACCTGGTACAATGGAGTAATCTCTTGTACTCCACTAAGATCTCCAAGCCCCATCTCTTTACCACATGGTAGGAAACCAGAGGCCCAGAGAGAGATGAGGACCTGCCTAAGATCACCCACAGGCTGCTTAATGCAGATCCCAAAAAGCCAGTAGGCTAGTCCAGAAATTGTCCTATGATATCAAGGCACTTCCAAAACACACACTTCAGTGTACATTATTCCAGTATTTCCTGAGTTACAGACCTATCATTGCTTTTGTTTGTTTTTTTGGTTTTTTTTTTTTTTTT